TTTTTGTAGTTTTGACAGGGCTATGAAAATCCTCAGAGATGCCTTCTCCTGATTCTTACCATGTTATCCATGCTTAAAGTCTTGCCGCTCGTATTGATTACACTCGATTACTTAAGCACTTGAGTAGTTACTCTCCAGAGTCTCGTCTCGTCTCTCTCTCTCTGCTTTCTCACTTGCCTTTGCTTGCGCTCTCTGCTCAGCTTTACCCTTTGTCAGAGGCGCCATGTAAGTCCATCATTAAACTTTAGCTAAAGTCAAACAAAATGAAGAAAGCTGTGCTGCAGCCAGACACAGTCCTTGCCCTGGCCCCTGGCCCAGCTTTCTTTCACTTCCTTTTGCACACAATGCTCGAGGCTCCTTGGAGAACAGAGCGAACCGAGTAAAAGCGAATTAAAAGAGCACTCGCACATGAACATGGAACTAGTAGAGGATGGGAGTGCCCGATAAACATGTAAATAGAAAGGGAAACAAGTTTAAATTCCGACCTGGAGATACCCAGCTAATGGCAATGGATCCATGCCACAAATTTAATCGGCAGGCGCATGAAAAAAGTCACAGCAAAACTTTTATTTCTTCCTAAAGGAAATATGCAAGTAGGGTAAATGTAGGGTTTCCCTTTGCCTGGTTACGAGTTGTAGCATGCAGCAGGACTTGAGCACTAGCTAAAGGAACTGGAGCACTGGCAGCTAAGTGTTGAAGTCTTTAAGGCAGCAGGCAGGAGTGTGGCTGCCTGTCTGGATGACGCTCTGACGCTGTGACTCTCTTTCTGCCTGTTAGCTGGTTGGCTTGTCCAACCGACTGCTGGCTGACTGACACCCAAAGTCCACTCGGACTTGACCGGAGCGTGTGTGTGCGGTCAGTGGTGAAGATTATCGATCGTTGATTTTTTCTCTTTTCAATTGAACTGTCTTCCATCTTATTGGTCGTGACCGCCGAGTCGTAGCTTTTTATGCCCTTCCCTTCCCCACTCCTCGGCCAGAGTCCTTAATATCCTGTGCTGCCTGTGCTCTTCCCAGTGTGCGTGTGTCGCTCTCCTTCTTGACTTTGCTTTGTCTGCGTTTTTGCCCGCCTCCTGTGTGTGCACTGCACATTCTCTCTGCTCTTTGCAGGGTCTTGGGGGGAGCAAATTCAACACTCGCTGAGGACATTTAATAAGCAAAAGGACATGTTTGGGTGCTCGTCCTCGTCGTCGTCTGGACATTGCGTGCAAGGTCTCCATCAACCGAAGCAGCCGGCTCATTAAACCTGTTTCTGGTGTTGTTTTTTCTCTCTTTTTTTTCGGTTTGTATGTGTCCCAGGCCCACTGACAGAGCACATCCATGTGGAGCTGCCCTGCAGCCCTGACTTTAAAGCTTTCCAAAGGAGTTTATTGATTTTTTGCCTTTGCCTTCGCCTTCGGGCTGGGGTTGCGGTTGGGGTTGGGGTTCGAGCTGTGTTAAGGGTGCCTTTGGGGGCACAGGAGCCGAGATACTAAAGTAAGATAAATAGTAGTTTCGGCTATGTTTCATAATTAGGGATTTCCACATAAAACAGCGCCACAATCCAACTGAAAAACCCTTTGCAGGGGGGGAAATCCAACACTGGAAAAACAATTAAAAAAGGTAACCCAAAACGGGCAGCCAGGATCCAAAAGGGAACTGGGGCGCACAAGGACTGGGCCATAATTTGTAATTGCTTGAACCCCACTGCGAAGAGGGGCAACACGAAGAGACGGAGGGGGCAGCAAGACCATCGGACGGCGGTGACACGAGTGTAACAGTTTTTTATTGTTGCCGTTAAAAACAACAAACAGAAAATTAAAACACATGTGCACAAACAAAGGAGACACAAAAACCAGCGAAAACCGGGCAGACACAGACACAACGAGCCGCGGCATACATATGCAAACGGTGTATCTGTGGGTCGCTTCTTTAGGGTATTTTTCTTTTTTTGGTGGAGTACCTCATAAATGAACCCCGAAAGCCAAAGCAAATAATTACGACGAGGAGGGGCAAGCCTCAACACAACAGCAAGCAGCGACAAGGAGACGCACCAACCAGAAGGACACAGACCCTGCACTGTGCCCCCTGTCCTGAAATGTAGTCCTTCATTGCTGTTCATGCTGAATGCGACGCTGTATAAGCCCTGACAATGGACGTGAAATTATGACAAACACACAGACAGAGTTATACAGCCATAAATGTGTGTGTGGAGTGTAGTGGTTTTGAGGGGAGGAGCACTCGGAGCACATCCTTCCAGCTGCTGGAGTAATACGTGTGGCCACATTACAAAGCTCATTAGAAATACAGAGAGGCTATGCAGGAGGACTACTACTGGCAACTACTTGCACAACATAAAGTTGACTACAGAGAGCCAACTACTGCGAATTAACTTGAGCAACTGGCTGGAATTTGTTGGCTCTTTCTCGAATTGTTTGCCAACATTTGAGGAATATGCTCCACGAAGCCCACGCAGCAGAGGCTGCTGCGTCAATCATTGACTGTCCCCAAAAATGTATTTTCCCAAAGAGTAAAAGTGAAAACAGAAAGACAAAAACAATAATGAAAATTCGAGGAGAAAGAAAAAGAGACACTTTGATTTGCAAGCTGTCAAAATGAACTTATCACCTTTGTGCCGTTGTTTATCGGCTACAGAATGAAAATTGTTATTTATATACACAGATACGTATACCTAAATGTGTATATATTGAGGCATGTACATTGGAAAAAACCTGACCAAGCGTTTCATCTCCATTTTTCCCGTTGCCCGCACAGATTTATTTGCCTATTTCTGTGCGCTCTGGCGAAGAAGAACGTGACGAAAAACGATTTTCTTTCACTCTCCTATGTATGACACAATAAAAGCAATAGCAATATATATATATATATCTATTTTCCGTATAGATTTTGTTGTGTTTCGTTCGGCTGACTGAAGTCTGACACTGAGCGTGGTCCACATTTGGTGCTAGCCAACTTTTCGTCGAGTATTTTTTTTGGTTCGCCCGGCAAAAGCAAATATTTTGCTGAACCTTTTTTATTACATTTAAATAATTTGATTGCAAGTGCTGACATCGAGGCCCAAGTAAGGGTCCGGCTGCGGGTCCGACTAAAGCATTTCAACTTGCCCCTCAACAGGGGCCGCCTTTTATTGGGTAACAGTTTTCAATTCAATTTAAATCACTTTGAGCTTTCGGCTCTTCCCTCCTTCACCTACGTATGTATCCCCCCCCCCCCGAGCATTGTGTGTGGGCGACTGATACTTTTTTATTTAATTTTTTCCCTGCACTCTCTTTTATTTCTTGCAGCATAAAAATTTATTATCATAATAAGCGAGCCGAGTCCAGCACACACAAACTCCCATACGCACTCAGACGCGTTTTCTGGCATATATCCGATACATTTTCTCTTTTGCACCCCCGCCCCTGTATGTATGTACATACGTGAAGGGCGGGCAGCCACCCTCGGAATGTTTTTATGTTTGTTTTTTGTTTTTGTTACGCTTTTGATGGAAATTCGATATTTGCAACACGTATTGAATTTTGATCAGTTTTTTGCGCCGAATATCTTCCCGTAGCTTTTTCTTATTCCCTTACAATATTGATTTAAAGTGCTGGGCTGGCTAATTTTCCTTAATGTATTGATTTTGAGGCAAGTAGAAAAATCCACCCCAGTGCTGGCAGTGCTGGCAGTGCTGGCAGTGGCTCAACACCAGATGCGTATCTCTGCAAACAATTAAGCAATTGTTAAATGAAATTTCAAACAAAAATTCCTCAACTAGGGCTTGCTCCCCCAGATTGGTTACGATTTCACTCAGTCTTTGGTTCCCTCTGTTGCAGTGGCAGTGGCAGTGGCAGTCAGTAGCAGCGCTTGTCTGAAGCATTTTGTTTCTGCGATACGCTTTTTGGAGCACAGCTCCACGCCCTTTAAGAGTTGAGGGCGAAGGGTTCCATGTGGGTCCATGTGCTGGCACTTTTTCTTTGTGGCGTTTGTAATTCTATTAGTTACAACTTGTACGAACAGTGTGAAGGAGGAGTGCGCTGTGGCAACCTCAATGAAAGTAAATGAAAAAACTTTGCCAGTTGTTGATCTGAATCGGGCTGGGAGCTTCGGAATAGAGTTTCGATGGCGCTGACGGGGCAACCAACAAAACCGTTCAATCGTTTCCACTTTTTTTTTCCACTCTCTCTCTCTCTCTCTCTCTACGGATGTTAACCCAAAATCAATTGCAACTGATGTGAGAAACGCTTTTAAGAAGCAGAGCGTGTTGCTCTGCTGTTTTGTACTTACATCTGGGCTCGGGCCAATGTGGCACTTGGCACTTGAGTTCCGACTTGACTTGGCATAAATATAAATGCCAAAAACCATCACTGGAAATCCACATTCACGCCGAGTCTAGGTAAATGTTGAGAGTGTGTCTTGTGTGTGTGTTGCTGTTACCCTTCAATTGGATACCAGACATCGTTTAACCAGACACAAAAAACACGACAGACGCGCACAGCCACCATAATGGAGTGGAGGCGCTCATAGACAGTTCAGCCGGAATGGATGGATGGATGGATGGATGGTTGCCCCTGCAACGCGATGCGCATTTGTATTTCGGTTTGTATACACATATACATATACATATATGTATGTATATGTTATTGTATAGAAACAAAAACCAAAATGATTTATCACTCCGTGTCGGCTTGTATCTGAGCTACGTTTGCTCGGTTGACTTTGACAGGCCGCCGACCGCCGTCTCTCCCCGCAGCCCCCCCCACCGTTCGACAATGCGTGAGGATTACAAAACAGCAACTCATGTGCATGATGAATTAAATTAGCAAAAAGAGAACCCATTCCCCATATTCCAGCACACACTCGTTGGTGCTGTAGCAAAAGTCAAAGAGATTTGTTTTAAAAAAGTTGTTTCATTTCATTTTGCATTGTTCGCTGGCGAAACGGAAAAATATCTTTGTCTTGTTCGTACATAGATTTAGATTTATGTATGTATATATAGTATATATATAAATAGTTATTATTCACAAAAATTGAATTATCCAAAGGTTATTATTACATTATTCATAGAGCGCCCATCATCTTTGAGAACTAAGACTACAACTTAACGCGGTATAGATGTTTATATATTACAAAATGATAAAAATAAATAACAGTTTTGGGGGCCTTTTCATACTGGTACAAGTGTTTGGTCCTGCCAAGGACTTTCCTCTCTCTCTGTCTCTCTTTCTTCTGGCGTTAGTTTTCAACTGATTTTTGTTGTTGTTTGACTTAACTAATGACGAGTCGGCGAGTTTTGCAAATTGGAAATAAATGCTTCATAGATATACTTATGATTTAGGCAGTTTACTCGGTTAATATACATATATCGCATATAGTATATATCGTATGTGTATAAGTGTTATAGGTATAAAGAGAGAGAGCGCAAACCTCATGCAGTGTTGCTAATATCAGTTTTACTTTACACAGTCACGCACATATATATATATATTCACTGAATAATACATCGATACTATTTACGTATGCATCTCTATGTATTGTATGTAAGTTTAGTCGTTAGTTTGCATTACAATTTATCGTTAGTTTTGGTAAGCGTAGTGTTTAAAATGAGCTTGTGTCTGTCTGCCTGTAGTTAACCCACTCGAGATTCATGTGTCCTGTCCTCCTGTCCTCCCTTTTTGCGTTTGCTAGCTAAGTAATTATGAATGCTTTATACACATGCCCGCAACGATGAGATCGTTGCTGGAGGCATCCCTTCAGACTTCTAATCCGACTGTGTGCACTTGAATGTGGTTACTGAAATTATCGCTAGATACGTTTACGTTTACTTTTTGCGGTTATGCATCGTGAGTGTTATCTAGGTATTTACGAGTATATTCTATTGGTATTTAAATAACTATCAATGCTGTTTATGGTATAGCGGAGAGATATATTTACAAAATGCATACGCCCAGATAGATACTCAATCAAGCACTCTCTCTCTCTCTCTCTCTTCGCCAAAAGATCAGGCTGAGTGCATGAATCTCTGTGTGCCACGGATGCCGAATAGTTCGGGGTTCACAACTGATTAAAACCATATTAAAAAGTTATCCCAGCAACTCTCCAGAGCCATTCTCAGCGCTAAGCAAATGAAAGACCAGACGGGAGGAGGAGTGTGTTTGGAGGGGAAAACTTTCTTTTGCTGTGGCAAAACTTTGAAAACTTCGAAATGGCATTGTGCTAACATAGTTTTCCCCTCACACACACACCACACTCTGCACTCTGCACTCTGCACTGTCTCCACTGTCTCCACTCCTCTTCTGAATGCATTTGTATCTTGTATCTGCGCCTTGTTGCTGTACGTATCTATGCGCTTTGTGTGCCTGTCTGTATCTCGTATGTTTGTTTTAGTGCATCTAAAATGACTTTTACACTGGATAAACAAAGTATTCGTAGGCGCTTCCTGCTGCTTGTGTGTGTCTTTTGGGCTGGGGAGGGGGCTTGTGGTTGGGGGCCAACATTAAAATCTCTGCATAGTTTCTACTTCTTCATCTCCTCCCTCGTTTGCTGCTGCTGCTCATGCTCCCCCTCGCTCTAATCTCTTAGCTTAACTCGCACATATTTTAGTAATTAAAATTATGCACAGGAACCAGTCCCTAAAGAAATCACTGTCACATTCTGTATCCTCTTACTGCAACCCCCATCTGCCTCTCTAGACGAGATACGCCTGGACATGTGGACCTTGCTGCTGCCCAGATCCGACTGTCTGCTGTTGTTGTTGCTGCTGCTGGGCTGGGGCCTTGCCACTGGGTCCCAGCGTGGCCACATGACCCACTGAGTTGGGACCAGACGACTGCAACGCCTGCTGCTGCTGCTGCTGTTGCTTGGGGCGCCAGGTCTGGGCCCTGGGGGTACCCTCCAACGAGACAACGGGGCCGGCGGGCATCATCAGCATGTGCTGCTCGTTGTCCAGCGTCGAGTAGTCCGAGTCGATGCTGGAGTAAATGTGCTCCGAGGGCGGACGCATGCCATGGTGCTGGTAGTACTGGGCATGCAAGTGGTGGCCATGTGGCGCGGCAGCCGCCCCAGAGCCAGAGCCCGAGCCAGAGACAACTCCATGATGATCTCCGCGGCGCTGTGGCCTCGGACTGGGTGTGGCTGTGGTGGCCGTGGAATAGTTCTGCTCGGCTGGAGCTGTGGCGGCACTGGGGGCGCCATCCTCGGCCGGACCGCAGTAGGCGGGCGGCGGAGCCTGACGATACAGCAGACCTGGGCTGGCTGGTTGCTTCACCCGCTCGTGATTGTGGTCCAGCGTGTAGTTGTTGCCGCGATAGGTGGGATAGTCGACGGGCAGGGCGTAGCGCAGCTTCTCCCAGAAGTGACGATCCGAACGCCGGATGCGATGCACGGCCGAAGTCTTCAGATACGGCAGCAGCTCGATGTCGCTCTCCGCCTCAAAGGCCACCTCCGGCTCCTCGATGATCACCAGCTTCTGTGGCCGCCCCCTCAGCGCGTCGTGCACCGAGCGGCGCAGTTCGCAGCGCGACCATTCCGTCTGCAGGAAGTTGCGGGTCAGCAGGATCACCACACGACGCGAGACACGTGTTGCCTCCAGCAGCTGGTAGTGGGTGGCATCGTGGGCGAGATCGCGATGCTGCAGGCACACACGCAACGGTGGACGTCCCGTCTCCAGCTCGGAGGCCAGGTGCTGGCACACAAACTCCGAGTCCTTGGCCGAGTGCAGGAGCACGGCATCGTAGAGCTTCTCCGACTCCTCGCAGCGTGGACCAAACACTCGAACGCCGTAGTGGGCAAACAGCCAGATGCGCAGCGACTCCCGAAAGATGAAGACAATGATGAAGACGACCAGGAGGAAGACCAGCGCCAAAGCTGCCGCCAGTAGGGGAATGTACGACTGGGGAATGCCGTGCTGCAGCATCGATCCACCGGAGTAGTAGTCCGTGCAGGCGGCGCCCGTTGAATTGAAGTCCAGCTCTCGCTTCTGCGGCGATCCCTCGGAGGAGGAGGAGCTGACATCGTTGGACCCAGCGTCGTAGCCAGGCGTGTTGGGCGTCGCCATGCAGTAAATGTCCTGCGCGTCCTGCACAATCAGCGCATTCTCCGCCACGTAGGAGGTGAGAGCCTGCAGGAACTGGCAGCGACAGCTCCACTGGTTGCGTCCCAGCGAGATGGATCGGAGTCGCCGGCCAAAGTGTGTGGCATGCAGCTGCCAGATGGGCAGCGTGACCAGCCGATTGCCATCGATGCGGAGCAGCTCCAGCGAAATCAGCGGCGACAGTGTGGCATTCTCAATGGTGGCCAGGAGATTGTTCTGCAGGTAGAGCTCCCGCAGCGCGGAGAGCTGCTCGAACTCGTAGCCGTGGAGTGTCTGGAGTCGATTGTCCGCCAACTGAAGGATCTGCAGCGAGGCGAGGCTGGCAAAGGTACGATTCTGGATGGCTGCCACCTGACTGCCGTTCACGTACAGCGCCTTGAGGTTCTTCCTGCCGATGAAGGCGTGATTCTTGAGCACCGGAAAGTTGTTGCCGTCCAAATAGACAATGCTCGAGTCCATGGGCACGCGCCGTGGCAGCTCCATGGTCTGCTGTCCGCCACAATCCACCACATTGGTAGACCAAATCTGATCGTGGTAGCAGGTGCAGTTGTGGGGGCATGTCATTTCGCAGTCGCAGGCATCAAAGTCGCAGCAGTGGCACAGCGCAAAGCAGTGCGACTCGTAGCGGCAGAGGAAATCCTGCGGCTGCAGAGCAGTCAACGGACGAACTGCAGCTCCACGAGCATGCGGCATCACGCACTCAATGTTGGGCATGTCCATGACGCGGGGATGCTGACGCGTGGTCAGATTATTGATACGCTGCAGCCAGTCCATGGTGCAGTCACACTCGAAGGGATTGCCACCCAAATAGAACTCGGGCAGTGGCTTCGGCGCCACCACAGGCGCCACACGGAGCTGCTGCAGCTGCAGCTTAGTCAGTTGATTCGCATAGAGATCGACGCGGGCCAGATTGGCCTTGTCCACGAAGGCATTGGCCAGCACATTGCCAATCAGATTGTTGTTGATGAACAGCAGCTCGATGGTGTTCGGTATGGACATGGGACCAATCTCCGTGATGCGATTGTGCGAGGCGTCTAGAGTCTTCACACGAATCTCCTCCTGCAGCTTGTAGTAGTTGCCCAGCGCCTCGATGTAGTTGCCATGAATGTCCAGCCACTTGAGGTTCGATGGGATGAAGGCGTAGTCGAACCACACCAAATGATTCTCCGACAGATTCAGCCACAGCAGCGACACCAGCGTGGCAAACACACCATTGATGTCCGACAGGAAGTTCCTGTCGAGCCTGATGGCCTCCAGCTCAAAGTTCTTGTCGAAGGAGCCCCGCTCAATGCTCTGGATGCGATTCTTGGCCAGATTCAGCACACTCAGTCGTGGCAGATCCTGGAACATGCCCACGGTGATGTTGCCAATCTGATTGTCAATCAGTCGCAGTCCCGTCAGCTGGTGCAGGTTCTTGAAGCTCTGATTGTCGAACGTCCGGATCTGGTTCTCGCCCAGATCGAGGGTTCGCAGCATGGCCAAGTCCTGCAGGGCGCGCGGCACTTCGTTCAGCTGATTGGAGCTGAGGTCCAGCTCTTTGAGGTCCGAACAGTTCTTGAACACCGCCTGCTCCACCACGCTGATGAGATTGTTGTTCAGGGTGAGCTTTGAGAGCACATAGAGGCCATTGAAGAGCTTATCGTCCAGCGTGTGGAGCCGGTTCTCGGCCAGGTTCAATGTGTGCAGATTGTACAGCGGCAGGAAGGCGTTGTCCTCGATGTGTCCAATGGAATTGTTGCGCAGATTGAGGATCTGCAGAAAGTACAGCTCCTTGAAGGTGCGATAGTCGATACGAGTGAGTGCATTGTGCGCCAGATTCAACACAATGAGACGAATCAGACCCGCGAATGTCGTATTGTCCACGTGATTGGAGGTCAGCTGATTGCCCGACAGATCCACCACCAGCAGCTGCTCCAGCCGATGGAACAGCCCCTTGGGCAGCTCGTACAGTTCGTTGTGCTGCAGATGAATCTCGCGCAGCTCTTTGGAGCCGGCAAACAGACCCTCGGGCAGCGTTTCCAGATGATTGTTGCTCAGGTTAACGATACGCAGCGAGGCGAGCCCGGCCAGCGCCTCGCCCGACAGCTCCGAGATGTTGTTGTGCTGCAGATTGAGGTGCTGCAGCCGTCGCAGCCGCGAGATGCCCCAACTCTCTGTGATCGAGCGCAACTCGTTGTGGCTGGCGTCCAGCAGCTGCAACTCGCTGCCACCGCTGCAGTTCATGTCCGCAAAGCCCAGCTGCTCGGCGGTGCGGATGCGATTGCGGGTCAGATTCAGTGACTGCAGATTGCCCACGGGGCAGAGGAAGCCCGGGGGCAGGGCCCTCAGGTTGTTGTCGCTCATATCCAGCTCCGTGAGCTGCTTCAGGCCGTTGAGCGAGTCCGGATAGAGCTCCAGCGCCCTGGCCGGACCCCATTCGGCATTGTGGCTGCTCAGCCGCAGCGTCTTGAGCGTGCCCAAGCCCTCGAAGGCATTGTTGGGCAGCTGCAGCAGCTTGCACGCCTCCAGGCGCAGCGTCTCCAGTGTCTGCAGTCGGGCGAACACCGCCACCGGCAGCGTCGACTCGAAGAGGTAGACATCGCTGCACTGAATCGTCAGCTGGCTGCTGCCATCGGCTCCCTGCAGATCCAGTCCCGGCTGGCGCTCGATCATACGCAGCGCACAGTGCACGGAGCTGGTGCCGTTGTATGTCCACGAGCACTGGTTGCCCGGCCCGCTGTGTGCGGGCGCGGCTGGCGAGGATTCGGCAGCGGATGCGGGCGGCACGGCGGCCCCCGACAGCAGTGTGGAGTAGTCGCCCGAGAGCGAGACGGCGGCAGAGCCAGTGCCTCCGCCCAGCATGGCGCTGGCAGAGTTGTCGCTCGCCTCCTTGGGCACCAGAGCTGCCAGGCTGACGCTCACCAGGAGCAGCAGCAACAGCAGCGATGGGTACTCCATTCCGGCTGCTCTTCTGGCTCTAATTCTTTGGGGGACAGAACCTCTGAGATGTTCTCGGGATTTGTTTGTGTTTTTCTCTGGTTCTCACACGCGAATTGACATTTTAGTGGGTGGTTTTCTGGGGGGGGATGTAACGGTTTTCTCTTGGTTTTCTCTGCTGTTTCACTTTTCCACTATTCGCACATTTCTCTGGTGTATAATATTTGTTGGGTATTTTCTATTCGTTTTCGTGTATTCTTATTGAATTATTCAATTTCTCTCACTGGCACAGGCTCTTAAATGCTGTTTCTCATATTTCGTGTGTATTTTTGTTTCGAATTAAATTGAATTGAATTTGGGCGTTTGGCCACACCACACACTGCACCACGTCCCGTACGTTTTCGTTTGACGACGCGCGGCAGCAACCGCGCAGTTCTAAAGTTCAGGAAGCGCGTGTAACGACCTTGCCTCGGCGAGAATTTTGACATGAATGAACATGTTCATTTCTAGCATAGACTTTTCTACACTTGAAACGATTGCTTGAAAGACCTGAGTAACCGAAAAAGAGCGACACAGCGACAGAGAGCCGAGTGGTAAACGAAAAGAGTCCCAGCGCAGCCGAGAGAGGCTTCGAAACGAGTGGAATTTTGTACCAAAAACGAGTGGTTGCAACGCTTGTGCCTCGTGCTTGCTTCGGCTCTGCACTTCGCTCACTCTCTTGCGCTCTCTCGCTGCTTTTAGTTACATTTGCAGCCGCTGCGTGTCCAGCTGGCGCTAGTGTGCCATCGCAAAGAGAGCGATTGAGTGCAAAAAGTTTGAGCATGAGTGGAAATTCTCTTTGATTTCTCATGAGAATGTAAACATTTACCAAACGCAAATGGAAATTTCGTATTTTAAATGAAAATAAAATGGATTCACAGCAGTAAATAATTATTGGACAAACAAATAATCAAATATTGAAAGAGTTGCAATCCCAAATGAAACTTCAAACGATTAAATTAGCATTTTAAATTGATTTTCTGTCTATCAATTCAGTAGTAGCCCAGCTATGCGGAAAGATTACTTTGATATTATATTAATATATATATTTTTTTATATTTCCCTATTAAAATACAACACAAAACGATTGAAATTATTTACCCATAGACATAGTCGAGACGAACACCAACTTTTGAGCCGCAAAATGAACGGTAGTTGCTCTCTTCTCTTTTCTCTGGCACTCTCACTCTCCCTCTCGCTCTCTCATTCATTCATTTCCACCCATCCATCCATCCATCCATCCATTTGTGTCTGTTATTGTTACTATTAACTCACACACGCGCCACCATCACCCAACAGCCATCGCAATGGCAAACGCCGCTTGCATATCCGTCAGATACTTTCCCATCGCGCTGCATCTTCTAATTGCCGCGCAGCTGCAGATGGAACTGGAACTGGAGATACTCGCATAGCCGCCATGCCATGCCATGCGATTTTGTCAACGCCAAAAGATGTTTAACACATTGCCAGAGGCTCTTCCTACTCCGACTCCCCGACTGCCGACTCACCCTCGCCCTCGCCCTCGCAGTACGCACTTGGAGTTACATTTTGAATGCAGTTGAAAGTGCACGAGTGCTGGCGCTATTTTTAGTGTGCGATTGTTTAGACAAGCGCAAAGCCGTGACTGTTTATACTTGGAATAGCCCCGTGGCGTTGTGTGTGTGTGGGGGCCGGGGCAGGGGCAGGGGCAGGAGCAGGGCCAAGGCCGCCTGCCGAACTTATCGTGTGTCGAGTGTCGAATGAATCACTTGCCACCTTTCGGAGTTTTCTACGCAAAATGTAATATTTATAAATGTTTCCCTTTGCCATAAAACATTCCTCAAACAAAACTTTTGTTTTGTGCAAAGAACTTTCTTTAATGCATTTATTATTCATAAGAACTTTTTCATTAGGAGTAGCACGAGCCCAAAGCAGGGGACACACACATGGCCGAAAGACGCAAGTCTGAGCCTGAGTCCTGCTCCTCCTGCTGGCAACAAATCTTCAAAGACACAGTTAATAGTGTCCAAGGCAGCAGGAGCTCTACCCAGACCCAGTCCCAGTGCCCAGTTGTAGTCCCAGTTCCATGTACGACCTCCCATCCATGGCCAGGAAACTGGCAGAGCTTGGCATTGTTTCATTTTGGCTGCTGCTGCTGCTGCTGTTGCTGTTGAGGTGTCGGAAACTTGTTCAACTTGTTTTTGTGTTGTGTTGTGTGTGTCTGTGTGGCAGATATTCAACCACAGTTGAATACACTCGTGGATACGTGAATGTGCGAACAGAGCAAGTGCAATCGTCAACGTGTGAGTGTGTTAAGTCACTTCTCTGACTCTCTGCTGGAGGACACTTTTGTTTTCAGAATTTTCAGAAGTTTATGCTGCACATTGCAAGCAGGAAACTGCATATTTTCTTGTATTTATTAGAAAATTTGATGAAACATTACTTTAAAAGTGAAGCATGCAACCAACAGTATTTGAAATGTTGTTTCAACAGAATTCTACCACAGAATTATCTTTCAATACATAATTATGCCTCACCCGGGGATTCATTCATTCATGTGACATCACATACAAAACTTCCATACAGATAAGAACAAGTCCCATAACGTATTGAATGCTCAGCTCTTATCTGCCCCCCAACCCAATGTCAGGCCAGGCCACCCGAAGAGCTCGCCATTGTACGCGTATCTCTGGAGGACTAGTGTCTCCATGCAGGCCAGAGGTTATCCCTCAAATATCTCTCAATTTCTAGCATCGCTGGGCGCTCTCGTTGCTACGTCTAAAGTGCACATTTATGGCATTCAAATATGCATTAAATTGCGCGATAAATTGTTGGATGATTGTTATGAGCGGAACCGATGATGTATGCATAAATAATTAGAGGGAGAGCAGTCAGAAAATGAGTTGGCAAAGTTTAATTACCAAAGTGCCCCACTGCCCCCGCCCCTGTGGAATTGCCATTGGCATTTGCAACAAATTTTTCGATTAGTGCTAGAACTTGGAGCACGGGCACAGGGCACAGGGCACAGGGCACAACGGACGGAGCTGGAGCCGATTTCCACCCATGCCATTGTTCAATAGTGCATTGCCGGCACCATTTTTCGTTATCCGTCCGGGCTCCATTCACTCGAAAGGGGAATACTTCATGAGGGTCCAAAGAGATGGCGGCTCAGTGTGGACTGGGAACTGTGGAAATGGCAAACAAATTGTGCAAATGGCAAAATGCTGGCAAAAGGCCGGCCACAGAGACGGCGGTATAAAATATTCGGGTTGGACACAGGATTTCTGACCAAAAATTGAACTAAAAACAAATTTTTAGTGCCAGTCAGGAGCAGGAGCAGGAGCAGCAGCAGCAGCAGCTGAAATTGACAGACGGGGCCGCCAGGAATGTGTCGGGATGGGGTGTCGGGAATGGCAATGCCGATTCCCATTTCGATCCGAGCCTTTGCCGGCCAGTGGAGCTCCGCTCTGGAGCCGCTTTCGGCACCAAATTGATGCAGCTGCGAACAAAAGGACTCTGCTCTTTTGACTACTTTTTGGACTATTCACGGTTTTCGTTTCAAAAACAAACTCATCCTGATTGACGAAACTTATCAAACAGCAAACTACGTATTCAAATATTGATCAGATTTCGATGACAAACGCAGGCGGGAGGGAAAAACAAACATTTTTTGAGCAACAAAGTAATCGGATCAATGATGGGCACATGCTGGGTCCTTGGTTCGCAGATGGAGTGCCTCACGAGTGCTCCTATTGCTAGAATTGATAACTATAAATATGGAAGGATAAGTGTAGAATCTAGTTTTAGTTGAATTAGTCCAAGTCCGAGCGGATTCCAGCATGTCTTTGGTGTATCAATGGTGCAGAAATTTGTGCTCCTTCCAGGCTATGCTCCCACTGCCACTGCACTTGTTTTTTGTGCTGGTTGCTGCTGCTCCCATGGTGCAAGTTGCACAGCTGAGCAGGCAGCATAATCGCATGCAATTATGCCACGCACACACTCACAACAGCCTGGCCGGACTCGGCCAGAGAGGATGAGCAGAAAGAAGTTGGCCAAACCCGCCGATCAACTCGGCTGGAAGTGACTGAGGATGACGATGTGCATGTGGATGGGGATGGGGCAGCCATGAGGCAAGACTCTGTTCATCCAATCGAGGGGCAAACAATGCAGGCGAGTTGCAGTTTTTGCTGCCTTCGTTTTTGTTTGCTGCACAATCTTTTCTAACTGTGTTGAGCCTGCCACCGGCTGCCCGCCTGCCTGCCTGCCTGCCTGCCAGGGAAGCTCTTTGGCCATGGAAGTGGGTCCCTGCCTGAGCCATTTTCCTGTTGATTTTTGCCTCGTCCTTGCGTGATTTTTGCTCCGGTTGGTTCTCCTGGCGTCCCCTGCTCCCTCGACTCACTGAAATTGGATGCAAAGAAGCGCGCCTCGTGTGCAGTTTTGATCTATTGATTGTTGTTTCCACTGCCTTGCCTAGTGTTTGGGCTTTGTCTTTGCCTTTTCCGACCAGAACCAGAACCAGAACCAGAACCAGTAGCTGCCTTAAACAAATATTGCATTTGGCATTTTCCAATTAAACTGAAACAAGCTGGACGCAAATCGAAGGCAGTCCTTGGAGTCTACGGAGAGACAATTCTCCGCATTCCTGAAGCGAGTGTTGGACGTGTTTCAAAGTGTTTGAAAACACCTTCGAGTAGAAGTGAATGCTGGAAATGCTGCAGCGACATAAAGTTAGCTGCATTCAATTGTGGCAGCTCGCTTATCGCACTCAATGATTAAGAGACTCTCCTACATGGAAAAGTCATTCATGGAAAGCGAGGCTTTCCGGGAAAGCAGCCAACAGCAGCCGTCACAAAGTACGACCAAGAGTTTAAGTACGAGTAGTAATTCCGGGAAGGCCTTAGCCATGCCATTCACTGAGCACTGAAAATAATAGCAATTACATGCGAGAAGGCCAATAAAAACCCAGCAACTAGATGGAAGTACGAGCTGAGCGCAGGAACTGGAGCGGTAGCTCTGGCGCACCTGAAACGCATTTATGGCACTTTAAAAACCCTCCAAAAAATAATTCCTAGACTCTCGAGTGCGTGTGTGTTCCCCCTGTAATCAAGCAGAGTAGCTGGAGAGAGTGTGCCGTCAATTTGGACACGTGCAGGCCTCGAGATGGAACTTTTGGGACTTGGAAGTTCTCAGTCTAGTCGCTGGCCGCATTCCCAGGAACTGTTGCAAGGCGTCACTAAACTGGTTTACGGTTAAAACCCTACCCCCCACTCCCTTGATTGCCGTGTACAATAAATAACACTACTCGGAATTGTGCAGAGAATTGTACTCTCAAATAATTGGTAGGAGAAATGCCGGGCACGTAGCTGGCTCGT